GACTACACGATAATCAGAATCACAACTTAAGGCAATGCCGATTAGCGAAAGAGTATCAACCTTTCGCATATGTCGACATGTTGCGTGATTTTTGGCGACTACTGTAAATCATTGCGCTTACTGATAATTCAGCATAGTGCCTTGGCTAAAAATATGATCTCGAAGCCAGCCATTCTCTTAGCACATATAAAGCCTCAACCTTGCGTTTAGCGTTGACATTTCATCAGCACGTGATTGGCTGTCTAACTCTTCGCTAATTGGCTGCCGCTTTGTTTCATTGTAAGTGGCACACTCATACTGGGGACGAGGCATCACCTTGTAAAACGGCGCCTCGATGTGGAGTATGTTGCAAGAGAACCAAACTTAATTATCATGTCCGTGAGCTCATGTGTTTGTATAAGAAGAAACTAACACCGTGGATCTTAGTACTTTACCCCAAGTTGGCTGCTATAAAATGGGATGTGTACATGTGCGCGGCCGTTAGCGCAAGTTTCCAGTCGCAGGAATTAGTCTGACGCATTTAAAATGGATTTCTATTTATCTTCTGCAAAATGAACGCCTACTTCAATTCGTCGGTGAGCCAGGTTTTAACTGGCATTAAACGAGCTGTCAGCGATTTTATTGAAGAGCATGAAAAGACGCCAAAAAGGACAGACGCCGAGAGTACAGCTCAGAGCCTAACTTCGCCAAAAAGCCCATCGATAGAAATGTCCTCCAAAGAAGACTCTTCGGTTACGGAAGAAGAAGGAGAAAAAAATTCACAGAAAGCACACACTAACAGGCGTGCTGAACGAGGCAAGCGACTTTCCATGGATGAAATCTTTAGCAGTATCCCTGAGGAACAGCCAAGTCCATTAAATGTCTCAACGCCAACGGATACCGGAGGTTCACTAAACCAGGAATTGGGAGTCCTGGAGTCCTCCAAAGTGTCGAAAAATAAAGACGAGGATTCTAGCAGTAATTATGCACAAAAAGCAGGCGAAAGTGATGTTGCCTCCGCAACAGCGTCCGCAGACATTTCGGAGGCCTCCACCAAAGGCCTGCACTCCGCCTCTGAAAGTGGTTTCTCAACTGATTCTACAACAGTTATAACAGTTATAAATCAACCCAGCAGGCAGGTGGATGCTTGTAATGAGAGACCGTTTTTCCCTTTCGAAACGGAGCCAGCGGCGGATGATACAGGTTACTTTTGCCTCTAAAACGCTTTCTCTTAGTGTTTGGATTTAAAAAAACCTGCGGCATACTATACACAGAGTCGGTGAATAGAATGAGCAGTTTTGACCATTCATTTGTTTTTCTGTGTGAGACATAGATTGACCCTTTTTATTCTGCTTTTCAAGTAGAGTCATTTTGCAAAACTCGATACCTACTACTATATTTTTCAAAGAAAATTCACAATTAATGTATTCTGAAAAAAATACAAACCTGTAGCACACGGAATTATGATTAAAGTCTACTAAAACGTAGATATATATTAGTACCTGGGATTAGAGGCTGAATAAGGATGGTCCAGGCCTGTGTCTGATTCAAAGTATAGGCTTTTTCCTGGAAAATAAATTCGCGCAATCGATGCATGAAGACTGGAACCCAAGGTACTTGAAAAAATTTAATTTAGGATCCGCGATATGATTGCATACTTTTTTACTATGGTTCTTAATTGCTTGCAGCCTGAGGAGAGGGCTGGTAAAATGAAAATGTAACAAAAGCACTAACGAATGCAATGCGTCATACCAATAGGCTTAGTAAAACCGTAGTCATTAGAAGTATGGGTATGCTGTGCTGTTTGAAAATCTCCGAAAATGTTCCGAAAGATTATGAATAGAAAATAGCATCTATCTTATCGGCTGTAGTCAGACATAATTAGATGATATGCATGTAATTCTTGCAAAATAACAGGCTCGTATTTTTCCCCCTAAACTTCAGGTGATAAGGAAAGTACAATTTTTGGGTGCATATTTGGAACATTTTTCACAAAATGTCAGCCTATCAAACACAAGTTTGAATTTTATTTTCATTTTTTTACGCTGCTTTTTGCAGTGCGATAAAGAGTACAAAAAACAAACATTTGGCCTGCTTGATTTGCGTATACAGGATTAAAATTGCTCTCTCTATGGATAATGTATGTGTTTGCAGCCTAATTCAGTAGGCGTTGTATTTGATAAAATTTGGGACAGTATTTTTTTTTCAAAACTTTATCCGGTTGTGGTTTGCATAGTAGCAGAACTGGGAAACGATTATTGTTTTCACGTTCTGCTTATATGTATGGGCGACTTTTAAGTGCTTTTTTGCCACCTTGACAACCTTTAGATCGTAGACACTTCTTGACAATAGAACCAGGTTTAGTTATTTAATGCATTCACTTCTGAGATAATTCTGCCGCATTAATGCAT